GCAGTACTGTGCTTAAAAAACAAGTGCGTACCTGTGAAGGTCATCGTAATCGAGATCGCGCAGATCAACGCCGTCGAGGTACACTCCGCCAGAGAGCGGATCGTAGAACCGCTCGATCATGTGCGCGATCGTCGACTTGCCACCGCCTGCACACAAACATTGTTTTGTGTCGTGTGTGTTGTGTGTGTCGTGTTAGTCGTGAGTCGTGTGTACGACCAAAACGAATATGGCATCGGCGCAATGAAGGCTAGGTACGTACCTGATGGACCAACGAGCGCGACGATCTGGCCGGGCAAGAGCTTGAGCGACACGCCGTGGAGCACCATGACGTCCTTCCGCGAGGGGTAGGCGAAGTAGACGTCTTCCAGCTGCACCTCGCCTTTGATGGCGTTGATCTTGCGACCCTCACTCGAAATACGCGGCTCCCTGTCCAAGAGCTGGAACACACGGGACGAGGCACCTGCGCGCGGCCGCCCAAGCGATGTGTGAGCGCACACGCACACGCACACGCACACGCACACGCACACGCACACGCACACGCACACGCACACGCACAGTACCAATCGCCTTCATGAAGTCGCCGTAGAGTGAAGACAAGCCGCCCAATCCTCCGGCCACACTCACCGTGTACAAAATGAATGAGGTCAGGGTACCTGCGCCACAGAGGGGGGAACAATCAGCTGTGAGACTAGGAGAGAGTTGGGTGTGGCGTGTTCGCTTTGTGTACCAGTGGTCATGGCCCCGCTGATGACCTCGCGACCACCTTCCCACAGCACCAAAACGATGGCGCCACTCGCAGCAAACGTCATGGTGGCAGCGAACACACCGAACACAATACCTGGCGACGGCGATTCATTATGACGATGCGAAGGGTTAGCATGATGGCGTGGGCGAGCGAAGGGAGTCTTTGCGTACCCAGCTTTCTGGCGAGCAAGTACGCGGCGTGCACCTTGGCATCATATCGTTCGTTCTCCAACAGCTCGGCGGCGAAAGACTTGACCGTACGGACGTTACTGATCGCTTCCTCTACAAAACGTAACGCGAGCGGTAGATTGTCGGTGGTGAGCATCTGCCGACAAAAAAGAATGCGGTGGGCCATGGCATGGTACCTGCGGCCGTGGTCGCAGCCGCCTGGGCGTCCTGCTGGGCCTTGGCCATGTTCTTCACGAACTTGCCAAACATCACCGCCGCGATGACGACGATCGGGATGACGGACAACATGATCAACGTGAGCTGCATTCGGGGTGTGTCCAGGAGGAAGAGAAGTGTAAGCAGCACATGGGCGCGGTAAGAGAGTGGAAGAGGTCGCTGTAGCACCTTCCACGAGATGACGAACAAGATGGTGATGCCGCCGATGGCGGACGCCAGCTCGCGGAGAACCATCGAAATATTTACAGTGACGGCGTTCTGCAATACTGTACAATCGGCCGAGAGGCGATTCACAAGCTCACCTGCAATGGGAGACAACAACAACAACAACACAAACAACGTAACAAGTAATGAATTGAGCTGTCGGGCGGTGCCATTTTCGTGCTGCTCACGCAGAGACAGGTACCTGTCTTGTTCACGTCGAAGAAGGCCACCTCCTGCTTGATGATTCGTGAGAACAGCATCTTCTTCAGCCTCGCCACGACGCGCTCGCCCGAGATCGTAAACAGAGCGACCTGCATGTTGAGTAGCATTGAGCTTGTGAATCGGGGGAGCTAGTGCACATGGGTGGTGACGTACTCGAAACAGGGTGAAGACGCCACCGATGCCGAGCGTGATGGCCAACATGAAGAGAGCACGGTACAGCTTGTCCTCTGCATGTTGTGCATGATGACGAAGGTGCGTTAGCAGAGGCGAAGCAGTGCGTAGTGGCTTCGTGCGCAGCGTACCGCCGTCTTTGGAGACTGCGTCGATGATGTCGCCAGCGAACTGGGGCAGCATCAGCATCGAGCCGCTTGAGACGACCAGCGAAATGGTGCCGCCCAAGAGCATCAACCACTGCACAGCAAAGAGGGGGGTGAGCCCCACACAAATTCCTCGAAATAATAATAAGTAGAGAATCGATGCACCTCTGGCTTAGCAAGGGAGAACAGCCTGCGCAGGTGGACGCCGCCTTTGAGTGGCTGATAGTCTGTGGTCTCGACTCCTTCGACGCGCGCCAGCATCTCCTTCTCATTTTCGCCGTCGAGATTATAGGGCTGCAGCAACTCCTTTAGCTCTTCTTCTTCTCCGCCTGGCTTCCTGCTCTGCTTGCCTGCACGCATTCCGCCGAGCTCCAGGTCGCCCTCTCCCACTTCGCCGCTGCTCTCCATGAATCGGATGTGATGTTGATGGTCGCCGAAGCCGTTGAGGTTGGGGGAAGGAGGCGCACTGCCTCCTCCCGCTTGTGGGCCTCTAATGTTGGCTGCTTGCACCAGGTCCGACCTGTACTCGACCGGCCACTCGTCCTCCGTGTCGCTGCTGTAGTCGCTGCCGCTCCTGCCCGTGACGTTCATCTCTCTTCGCGCAACGAACTACGATTTGCCGCTGCAGGCGAGACAGTTCGGCG